GATTTGGGCTGTACTCAGCAAGCGCAGTGCAGCCCCCGACTCAGATTTGAAAAAAAATAAGTGGATGGCTGTTTTCTGACTGGTCGGCAGACCGCCGACCGGTCGGCCCTACTGGTCGGCTGCAAAACGGTCCGTGGTCGGCAGGTATGCAACCCTGCGCTGTACACCATAGAAAGAGGCCTCCTTTCCCTATCGAGGATGAAGATGGCATCTATCATGACGCCGATGTAATGTAGGGACTACGGAGCACAGGGTAATTCCACTTATACAACTGCCACATTGCATCCCATGTCGGTGACAATGTACTCGTGATAATTGATGCCCTTTTCATTCCCCCAGCAGATTGCGCTTCCATACACGACCATGACATGTGTACCATGGTCCACCATAGCTGACATGTGCGATCCTGATCCCCCCCCACCCACCCAAAACAAAGGTGTAAACATGGTAACTCAGGCTCCTACCCTAGCATCCTACCTACGCCTGATGCTCGGATACCAAGGTGCAGTTCGGTTCCTCAAGGACAGCCACGAGGCATGGTTGCTTCTCAACGCACGCCGTGTGATCAATATCGCACCTCACACACCACGGAACGGCTCAGACTCTTCATCCTATGGATATTCCTATAAAGTTTCGAGTCTCGCCCTTTGAATTCTACCCGCTGCAGCAACGTTTAGTTCACACCAACCTGAAAAAATGGGATAATTTTGCACTAAACCTCGTGCTATTCTTTTCGTTTAGCTGCGAACTCTTAACTGTCTGTGCACGCAACCAAGCCCTCGAACCAACACGAGGAGATTCCAGTTCCACCCAGCCAATCCAACGCCTTCGCCTAGAGTCCTCAGATGTGACCCTTATAAACCGACCGGACCTTTATAAACCGACCGGACCCTTATAGATCGACTGGACCTACAACGCTACAACGTAGGGTATTTTACTATTTTCTGCAAGGAGCGAGATTGCGCATCACCTCTGGTTGGTTGTCCGCTGGGATGCTGCTGGACCAGCACACAGGAAAGCAGTACCAGTAACCCATACCTTGGCAATGAGAAAGAGAGGAAAAGAGAGAGAAATAGAGACAAGGGGGAGCGAGGGTGAATCGTGCCAGAAGGGGAGGTCCTTGGGCGAGCAAGACAGCCACGAGTGGAGGGGAGAAAGACTTACCTTGTTGGTCTTCGGCATCCAGCATCCATGCGCAGGGACCATGCTAATCTCTTCGGGACATCCGCTCAAACTGGAACGGTACAGAGAAAAAGATGATGCGCATTTATTGATTGGGCATTGGTGGGAGAAGCACTGTGGTCAGAGCCCTTGATGACAAGGGGCAAGAAATTGAGTAGAGCAGGCTAGTGTAGAGTACTACCGGTCGTAGGGCAGGTGATCACAATGGCTGGTCACGCCAGAAGTCACGGTTTCAAATCCCGGAATAGACGAACATTAATTGTAAGCTCCATGCTTATTGTTGTTGCTTGGTGGACTGAAGGGAGTCTCTTCTATCGTGAAAACACCTCAATATTGAAAATATTTTGTGGTATATATCGTCAAACAGAACTGCCCGGTAAACCGTAGGCAGAGAGGGAGAAGAGGACAACAAACAAGGGGCTGTGACAAACTGTTTTGTCGGAGTTTCACCGACTCATCAAAGGGCATATATATATATATATATATATATATATATATATCGTCACAAATAGAACTGCCCGGTAAACCGTAGGCAGAGAGAGAGAAGAGGACAACAAACGAGGGGCTGTGACAAACTGTTTCGTCGGAGTTTCACAGACTCATCATATATATCGTCAAATAGAACTGCCCGGTAAACCGTAGGCAGAGAGAGAGAAGAGGACAACAAACGAGGGGCTGTGACAAACTGTTTCGTCGGAGTTTCACCAACTCGTCAGGAGGCTGAACCCTCAACAGTCTGCAGAATCCCCTCACTGATTACACTGTAAATGATAATCTACCTTAACCAAAATCAAAGTAGACTATCACTCACCCACACCAGATGGAAAACTCTACAGACTGTCGGTTCACACCCCATCACAAGCCAGCAAAACATCCACGAAACAAAGAAAGGTCTGTCAAAGCCAAAAAATACACTCCACACACGCCGCTGGCACTAGAGGCACAGCATGGCCGCCTAGTAACGGCCCCGACCACTGCCGCTCGACCTGACCGGAAAAAACCGTAGCAGGAAGCTAGCGAAGTCGTTGCATATAACGTCACAAACAGAACTGCCCGGTAAACCGTAGGCAGAGAGAGAGAAGAGGACAACAAACGAGGGGCTGTGACAAACTGTTTCGTCGCTATATATATATACATATACATATGTATATTCTCCCTCTCTGCCTACGGTTTACTGGGCAGCTCTGTTCGATGATATATATATATATATATATATATATATATATATATCGTCAAATAGATATATATATATATATATATATATATGTCATTGCTCTGTCAGTTCGCTCACTGCCCTGCCACCAAGTCAATCCTGGTTCATCAGAGCACAATGTGCTAGCAATTAGGTTTCATATTTAGCGTAGGTTACTGCCGTCTTCCCCCGAACACAACGCACCCTCTCTATGGCTGTACCAAACCAGAACGATAGCTTGTAGATATTTCATTATCAGGGTGTGTTCTGTTTGGGGAAGACAGGAGTAGAGCAGGTGATCTGATTGACTGGTTGATGGAGGATAAGACTGGCATTATTTGTGAGATTTATTCTTGGGAAGGATTGAATGGTGACGTGAAGGGGACTTGTTTGCTCACTGGAACATCATTGGACTGTCCGTTCAGCTCATTGCTTTGATAAATCAATATAGAAAAGAAAATAGAACTTGAACAAACAACGTAGCTGAGGCTTACATATCACAGTATCACCACATTGCTAAAGCAAGGATATTCCATGCTACAGACCACCTCCCTCATTGCTTTGTCACTGAGTCGATCCTGGTTCATGAGAGCACAACTTGCCCGCGATTCAAGTCCCATTCACAGTATCCTCGCGAATAATTACTTTTCCAGGTTCTAGGTACACCAAGCCTTGCAATTTTTTTATTTACTTTTTTTAATTAACAGGCGACGACCTTGTGATATCATCATTGAGCTGACCGGCCCCATGCAATTCAGAAATGTTTGGTTTTACTCATCATGTACCATCATCTGGATTTGAATCGGTCTGTATTTCAACAGTTCATGGGCGTACCCACAGAGCTAGGCTCTCTTGGGTGCAAGCCTTGCAAAATTACTTCACCGGGTTTAAGTAAACCGGTTCCTGTCCTCTCAGCCATCCCTGCTACACTCAACAAATAGATCAGAACTGTTGTCAATTTACTATTTAGTATTTACATACTGAACGGGACAGTGTATAGACAGTATTCAGGCCCTAAAGAGGAGTTGTGCACGACAGAGGGAATGTGATTAAGTAAACATCCAGTTGCTTTTGGCTTGCAGAGAGTCAGGAATCTGCCTACCGCTTTCAGTCACCTGTTCTCCATAGAGAGAACCACTAGCATCCTACACTCCTTCAAACACTTGCCTCTCGTCTGATCACACAAACCATGTGAGAAGAAACCTCATAAAGAAAATGGCGTCCATACTCTCTCTCTCTCTCTCTCTCTCTCTCTCTCTCTCTCTCTCTCTCTCTCTCTCACACACACACACACACACACACATTCATTAGCTCACTTGCTTCCTCTCTCTCTCTCTCTCTCTCTCTCTCTCTCTCTCTCTCTCTCTCTCTCTCTCTCTCTCTCTCTCTC